CAACAAAAAGGAAATAAGGATTAGTATTCGAAACAGATGACGAGTCAATAAACAATAAAGCTTCAATCTCCTTAATCCAATGAAAAATTTATCTTCATACTGAAGCATAGACAACAAATAACTCTACTGATCATTAACAATTCATGTCGAACTAGAGAGATAATTAACATTAGTACATTAGAACCACAAAGGTCTAACTCAATAAAACTCAAGCTCCACAAAATTTCCAAGATCCAACTTCTGATGACATTTGAGATATTTTTACAGAATGATCAGACTACTAAATCTTTGAAGCTTACTATCAACTAGTCACTTAATCCATACATATATAAGAAACTTTGAGATAAAGAAAAGGCAGCCAACATAAGAGAACTTAAAACAACAACTGACTCTATCTTTTAGGACCTCTACAGGCAACCAAGAAAGATTTAGATAGTAGCATTAAGATTACAGATCTACTGAACAATGCATCAAACTTTGAGAGAAAAAAAAGTGACCAACAAAGCCAACAAATAGACATCAGACAATAAACTAAGTGAAACATAGTATTGCCTAAATAAACACTTGACTCTGCCATGCGTTTAAAATGACTCTAAACAACCAGGTCATTGCTTATGTAACTCAACAGAAAGACAAACACGACTAGAACTAAGCCAAAAAGAGGACATGCAGGCTTAAAATGAGCTCAAATTTGAAGAAACTCGACCCCGATTTATTAATCCCGAGTCCTTAAAACAGAAAACAAATATTCAAAGAGAGAAAATCAGCATGATTCAACTATAAATTTGCAGATTTAAGCTAACATTAAAGAAATTCTGCAACAAGCAACCTGAATAATTCGAATAAGATAATCAGACATACACAACTATGAGACAAAATCACACAGATATGAAGCCATTTCAAAGACTAAAAATAAAACAATTATCTCTCAATAACTAAGAGGCTCAGGCTTGCTTTAGTAAACATATTCGAAATGAGGAGAAAAGGAAAACGCAAAATAAGCTCACACGACTATATATGTTGATTCATACAATCGCTTACGACAAAGAACGAATACACGATGATTAGTTAGAAGTTCTAAATAAAGAAGAAAACAATAATGAAGCCATAGAAACCCAATCGAAAACAGATTCATCACATAGCACTTGGAATCGAAATAGAAAGTAAACGATGAATGAGGTATTACATTCTTCAAAGCAGCAGAACTGAGACGACGAGTTGAAAAGCTTTCCACCACCACGTGAAAGGAACTCCAACGGAAGTTTCTGGCAAAAAAGAACAGAGAGCTTAGGACGAGAGCTCCAGATTCTAAGCTCGTAACTCAATGACTATAGAAGTCAAAATTTATCTTGAGAGCCTATATCACTGTGTTTTGCCTCTATTCTAATGAGTCCCCTCTTTTTTTTTTAACGAATCTATTCCTATATGTAATTCTAGTTAATGTTTCTTAGATGAAATCTTAAGGAAACGAAACCTAAAAAAATGAAGTTTCCCCCCTCTGAGTTATCTCCAACTTTTCTGTATATTCTCCAACCGATTTCACTGAAGAGGATCACGAGCTTTTATAGAAGAGGTATTAGGGTTGTCTTGGGGGGGAAATATGAGGAATCGGATAAGATTTCGGGTCAATTTTGAATTCCAAAAAACTGAAGGAATATCCTATTTCGATGCCAAATCATAGCAAATTCCAACGAGAAGAATGCGAGGTGGTCGGCCTCGATTGAATTGACTGTCCTTGAGGGGATAGGTGGATCAATCTCATGTTGGGAAGGACAAAACTGATTGTTATTGCTGTACGAGTGTACTGGCGAGAGAGAAAGGAAAAGATGATGAGAATAAAGCTGTTACGCGTACATAGACGCTGTGAACTGCTTTTCGTGAAGGCGTCGTCTGCTTCTCTTTGAAATTGGCGTGAATTGTTTTTAAGCGTGAAGCTTCTGGGTTCTCTTGTTGATTGAGAAGTGGATCGGGTCGGGGTCGGGTGTGTTGTATGTATTGTTGTTGTAATGTGCGTTGGATTTCTTTTGGATGTGAATGAGAATGGGCCTGGTAATTAATAGTGGGGTTGGGTTGAAGGAATTGGGGTTTTGGGCTTGAGGAATATAGTGGGCTACGTAGATTGAATGGGAAAATGGCCCAAAATTTGGTCTAATAAGGAGTAAAAGAGGGGTTAGATCTTGGAGTTTAAGAAATAGCCAAATTGAGTTAAATTAATAAATTCGGCTAAAACCTAAATAAGATGAATGAATATTAATTAATTAACGAGTTTCTTAATCTTAACAAAATAAAATAAACAACTTAATTATAAACTAATTATCTTGAAAATATAACTATAATTTAAACTAAACTAAATAACCAAATGTTTAAGATAAAACTAAAATATTTTTGAGACGATTTTCGAATATTCATAAGATGTACTAATTATATACGTAATTATATAAAACATAAATAGTATTTCAAAATTTATAAAATGACTAAAATTACTTAAAGAATAACTTGAAAAATATTTTGAATTTTTATAAAATTAATTTTTTCAAATCGTTTGAAATTAAGAAGCTCGAAAATTAATTCTATCGTGGATGGTCAAAATTGGGTGTCAACAATATAGTTATACTTTTATATAATCGAATTTTATTTGAAATCGCTTCTTTATATTAGGTTTTTTTTTATGAGAACTTCTTTACCTATAATTAGCAACATCATTCAATATATACTTTGTAGAATTGCTCCTCTACAACACTCATATGCCTCTATAACATTATCTTGTATCATAAAGCCACATTAAAAAAGATGACATAATTTCTAACATGACTAATAATTGATCTAGTATATTGATCAAATATTTGAATGTTTAATATATCGATTTTGATAAAGCATATTGCATCAAGTATACTTTGATTATGGAATGATTTGGGTATATCTATATTTTATTTAGATAAAAAGGGTGTAAAATAAAAATATTTATGTGAGAAAATTATTGATTAATATAAGGGAAAAGGGTCAAAAATATCCCTCAACTTTGTTTTATTAGCTGATTATATCCCTATCGTTAAAACAAAGTTATTCATACCCTCGTCGTCACTAATTTCACTATTTATACCTCCCTCAATTGAAGGAATCCCCAAATTGACTCAAATTAACCCGAATTTTAAAAAAAAAAAAACCATTCCCCGTTTTGAACCCAATGCCCCATAGTATAATCTGTATAACTCATTCCCTCTTACCTATTCTTTCAAATTTTCCATATAACTCGTTCCCCTTTACCCATCAACTTCTCCTCAATTATTCTTCATTTCCTAAAATGTTCAAAAGTCTATCAGGCACTTTCCTTATAGAGAACAACAACAACAACGTTTGTACAAACAAATTCGCCCTGGAAACACAAATAATTGGATACAATGTAAAATGTTGATAGATGACAAAGAATTTCGCCAGGGAATCGAACGTTAACTCTCTTCCATAGAAGGTAGAAGTCAATGACTTGAACAAACTTGAAGATACTACAAAAACTGGCAAGTGCTGAAGATCAAGATCATAATCCAAGCAATTACAAGTCGAGCATTATGGGTCCATTTCCACCAAGAAATACTAATCGGGTAAGACAATTCCCTAACATAATTTGTATCATTTTATTGAACCCCTTATTTGTCATAATCAAGTAATGACTAGAATCATGACCCAAATAAGAAATCTGCATCTAAGTTAACCCCAACAATGCTCTAGAAAGCATATGAATCAAGAAACTATCACTAAAAATTACACCATAGAAAGTCAAGAAAAACAAAATCTCAATAAAACAAAATGAATACATAACCCCATGACCTTTTTCTCAAACAATCCAGCTTTAGTAAAGTCAACACAAAGCTTTCTATAACCCCTTGATACCTCAAAAACATGATAATCTTCTAAATAATAACCAGTAAAGAAGTTATCAAGATGTTTCCAAGCAGTACCTGGATGAAAAGCAATGAATGGATCAGTTGTTTCTTGTCCAGCAAGATTAAGTAAAGGGATATCCCCACCAGGGTGTTGCTTAATCCAATCAGTCACATTAAATGGATAAGGAAAATGAAGAACAATCGAGGAGAAGTTAATGAGTAAAGGGGAATGGGTTTATGGAAAATTTGAAAGAATGGGTAAAAGGGGAATGGGTTATACGGGTTATACTATGGGGTATTGGGTTTAAAATGGGGAATTGGTCCTTTAATTTTTATTTTTTTTTAAAATCAAGTTAATTTGAGTCAATTTAGGAATTTCCGTCAATTGAGGGTTATAAATGGTGAAATTAGTGACAGCGAGGGTATGAATAACTTTGTTTTAACGATAGGGATATAGTCAACTAATAAAACAAAGTTGAGGGGTATTTTTGACCATTTTCCCTTAATATAATCTATGCTATATGAAATCTAAACATTGAATAAGTACTTTCCATGTCTTAAATTTATTTATTTTTCTATTATAATATTAAAAAGATGAATGCCAAAATTCAAATGTCAAATGTAATTATAAATGTACAACAATAAATTTGTTTTAATGGACAAAAATGATCGAATGACTGTTACAGAAAGATTTGATCGCAATCATACTAGTATAAAATTATTCATGACACATCATTGAAGCTCGAAAGTGTGAACATAATAAGGTGAAAATTTTAGTCTTTGACGTGCAAAAATATTCAATTTTACAATCACCATTTGAGACGTATTTGTAGGTCACACAAAATAACAAATTTATTCGTTTCAGATTAGCTTCACATTATGAGATAACTAAACTTTCATATGATTGAAGTTGCGATACATATAACTGTAGTAAATATATTTTTATCTGAATTCCGTGTATCATAATTACCTATAAAAAATTAAATAACAATGTCCGAATCTCAATTTTTTTACAATTTTAGTTAGTTAGATTTTGGGCCCATCTATAAATTGGCCCATTTTTTTGCAAATCCAGTCCATAGTATGTAAAGTAGAATAAGTTTTTTTAAGCCCACCAATCCCTCATTCTCCACGGCAAATTAGGGTTTTTTATACGAGCATCTCTCCCGCCTTCCGTTGATCTTCCTTTCAATCATGGCGGAGCAGACGGAGAAGGCGTTTTTGAAGCAGCCAGGTGTGTTTCTAAGGTGAGTATTCTGAGCAATCTGTTAAATTCCGTAACTTAGGAGGGGTTTTAGCCTAAGATTTGCGTTTATCTGATCGATTTCGGCAGCTCTAAGAAGACCGGGAAGGGAAAGAGGCCAGGAAAGGGAGGCAATCGATACTTCAAGAGTATCGGCTTAGGATTCAAGACTCCTCGTGAGGCTACTGAAGGTTCGTATTTATTTGCTCAATTACTGTAGTTCATTTGGTTTCTGCATTGTTGATTTATATTTTAGATATGAGCGCATAGTGAATATAGTAGTGTGTCAGTCTAAACAGCAATTTTGTTGGTGGAACGCCAAATGCCATATTAGATATATCTAGTCGACGAATTATCAGTCTTCCTGCCGGCTCAGTCGAAAGTCACAGAGGAGCAACTACGAAAGCCCATGTTCACCTCCATAGCTCTGGGATAAGACAGTCCTGATGAAGCTATTTCGTACTAAAGGCCTTAAGAACTACTTCTGACTTGGACATTGCGGATTTAGATTGAGTTACGATCTCAACCTGTGATTTATGTTCTGGCCTGTATGTTATTATGGTCTGAATGGAGCCCAACATAAAGTCTATAAGAATAAGACTAGTTTTCGATTTCCACGTTCGGTTCTTTCCTTTCTATATTCAGTGCCAACTAGTTAGGATTAAGGTTGATGCGCAAATTGTTTCGTACTCAAGGCCTTAAGAACTACTTCTGACTTAGACGTGTGAATTTAGATTGAGTTAGGATGTCAACCTGTGATTTACTTTCTGGCCAGAGAATATGTTATATGGTTTGAATGGAGCCCAACATAAAGTCTATAAGTCTAGTTTCCGATTTCCACTTTCGGTTCTTTTCTTTCTATATTGTCTTGATGTATTCAGTGCCAACTAGTTTAGTATTAAGGTTGAGGTGCAAATCATTCATGCCTTAAGTAATGGGCCTACTTGCTCTAAATGGCCAAAAAGTCGCTTGTATTATGTTTCTGCAACTTAGTTGGCATTTGATAAATCTTTCTAGTAACAAGTTAAAAGTTTTTGCAATGTGGGCACTTTGTAAATCTTTCTTTTAAGTTATAGTTTTTCCATTGTAGTTGTCATTTGGTAAATCTTTCTATTGTGAAGCTATTTGCTATTTGTCTGAAATGCATGAAATATGGTTTGATGCAATTTGAGTACATAAGGGGAAACATTATACTCCCTCCGTCCCATTTTATGTGGCACCATTTCCTTTTTGGTCAGTACCAAAAAGAATATCACATTTCCTTATATGGTAAGTTTATAAAGGTACAATTCCTCTTTTATCCTTGTTGGTCCCACTTAATCTTAAAATAATACTCCAATACATTTATGAGGAGAGAGAAAAGAGAGTCTACTTTTTAAAGGACAATTTGGTAAACATTTCAAAGTCTTCATTTATTTCTTAAACTCCGTGCCCGGTCAAATGTTGCCACATAAAATGGGACGGAGGGAGTATCAGTTTTGTGAAAAGCAACAAAAAATGTGCGTGAAGCAAGGCACAAGCACTGCGCTTTTATGCTCTGAAGCCAGTCGCTGCTAAAAAAGTGAGCGCTTCAGTAGGCGAAGCGAGAAGCACGCTTAAAGTAAAGGCGACAAAAAGCGCACTTAGTTTTTTCTTTTAAACTTCTGTATAACACATTTGTCTGGTGCGACTCAAACATTTCCCTCTTCTTCTTCTATGACTCAAACATCTCAACATTTGTTGCTGCGACTCAAATGATAAGTTCTTCCTCTCTTTTCTTCTTCTTCTTCTCTGGACTCTCTTTCAGGCTTTCAGCGACTACTTCTAGGGTTTTACCCCCTGTTATGATCTGTTGTTTTTTACTTGTTTGGTTTTGCTGTTTGCATTTGCTTAATATGTTATGATAATGAGGATTATTAACCGTCTTTTATTTACTTTTTAATTTAAGAATTGAAAAATTTGCTTTATATCTTATTTCTATTGAGTTCTTGGTTATTTATATATGCATATATAATTTTTTTTTTTTTTTTTTTTTTTGATAACCGAGAAATTCGTCTGTGACCCGCCCTTTGGACCAATCACAGCCTTCTAAACTCGGTAAAATAATTTTTTTTATTTTTTGTACTAAATAATGCTTTAGAAGAAAAAAGCGTGTGTTTCGCTTCACTCTTCGGTGAAGCAAGCACTCGGTGTTTTCTTTCTGCTTCTCGCTCTCCAAAACACTGCACTATATTTTTGTTTCTACAATTTATTATTAGCTGGGACTCGGGTTATTAGGATGATGTGGGGTGCAAGTTATCCATATGTGTTTAACCAGTCATATGGCCTTCTCTTGATTTTCTTTTGAATCTTCTATGGAATTTCTGATAAAACCAAAAGCATTTAGGATTGAAGCAACTTTGTTCTTCTCCATAGCTTCTTCTCTTGAAGGCTTGAAGCTATTGAGTCTGCCTTTGCTTTGCATAAACTGGATATTGGCTCTCCAACAATTTAACCTTTGACAGAAGTAGTCTTCTGTGATAACAGACCAAGTTGAAACTTTTTTAATAGGACTTTTTGTTCCAATTGTCAAATAGAATAAAGACGTTCACCTTGCTAGCATCTGTTAACATTTATGGAGCTTACATGGGATATGATACTGTGAATAAAAACCTTCTCCTTAATGTCATTTGGTGATAGGTATGGATCTCAATAGTATATGGTTATGATGTGGATGACCTTAATATATCAAAGAAGTGCTGAATCAAAGTGGTGCTATAAGTTCGGAGGAGAAAGCAGGGGATTGGATTTTAACTTATTTATTCCTTTTTGTTTCCTACTTCAACCTGACCAGACTAAGATCAATAGCACGTGGTAAATTTCTTATGTGGGCATTCCAAGAGACTGCATTTACTTACATTTAAGTAAAACTAGTAAATAAAAGATACTTCCTAAATAGCTATTTGTGTGACCTTTATGTGGATAGTTGAGAATTGACTTTAAGAACAAAGATTTCCTCAGATTTCAAGTCATCTTTTATATAATGTTGTACCAGATTGTTTTGATTATTTCATGGATTTCCTTAATTTCACCTTGTTCTGTGGTTTAACCTTATGTTTGGTCTATTTAAATATAGGTACGTATATTGACAAGAAATGCCCATTTACTGGCAATGTTTCTATCCGAGGTCGTATCCTTGCTGGTACATGCCACAGTGCTAAGATGAACAGAACCATCATCGTTCGACGCAATTACCTACATTATGTCAAGAAGTATCAAAGGCAAGAGCTTGTCACTTATACTATGTTGGCTGCCTCACTTCTTCTTTTGTTAGTTTTAACACCTAAGTTATTTCAGATATGAGAAGAGGCACTCCAATATTCCAGCTCACATATCACCGTGCTTCCGTGTGAAAGAGGGAGATCATGTTACTATTGGACAGTGCAGGTTAACACCACCATCTTGTTTTGAATTTTCTATAGTATTTTTTTCATCATTTGCTGTTATTGTAGGTGATAACGTTTTCTGCTTCACAGGCCTTTATCCAAAACCGTGAGGTTCAATGTCTTGAAGGTGATTCCAGCTGGTTCTGGTGGTGGCGGGAAAAAGGCTTTCACCGGGATGTAATCTTCGTGCCTCCATTTCAAATTTTGTTTCTTGTAGGAATATTATGTCAGAACCTTTTTGCTTTTTACTGAGTTATCATCTTCAAATTTTGGAACTTAATGCTAGTAAGTTTGTTATTAAGCCTCTGAACTTGCTTATATAATGTTATTTGATTGAAGAACCTAATACAAAAAGGATGTTTGGTGATTAAAATAGCAGCAGCTCATTAACAGGATGCCAATTAACAAATCTAACACCATATTAAATAATTAAACAAGTCGTGCTTAACTGATTAGTCTACAAATTGAAGCTAATTCAGTGAATCAGCGAACCTATTGTTCCATCAATAACAAACACCATATTAAATAATTGAGTCATGCTCCTCTAGCACTAAGTCGAGTTAGAAGTCTTTCTACGGCTAAACTTTTCACATTAGTTCGTGCAAGGGTCAATTTCAAAAGACCATATGTTTCAACATATAATGAGTTAGGTAGGTGGTTCATAACCTATAAAATTAATATCTATAAATCTTTTTTTTCAACGCCACCAAGTTTGCATCAATTGAAGTAAAAAGTTATGATCATTTTAGTTATGTCAGACTTTCTGTATTGACCATGCTTTTCGTTGGTGATGAACAATTTTGAAGGGCAAAACGCCGGTTGAAGAAAAATTTAATGATTTTTGTTTTAAGCATGCGTTTCATTTGCGTTGAACAATGTTAGATAGGTGTTTCATCGGTTGAAATACCTGTTGAACGATGTGAAATCATTTAAGCTGATTTATGTCCAATTTTTCTCACTTTTGATCATTTTTTCAAGTCCTAGAAGTGATTTTCTCTTCTCATCTTATCCTCCTCCATCAAGGTAAGTCCTTTTCATGGAATTCAAGCTTTTCAATTCCTTCGTCTATTTATGAATTATTGATACAAATCTTAATTCTTGGTCATAAAGTTTTCAAGAAGAGAATTCAAGAATCTCAAGAAAAGGTTTCTTGATCATTCTTCTTTAAGTTAGGGTTCTTTATCAAGATTTGTAGAACATTTAAGGTATGTAAGACTATCATAGTGAGAGATTAAGTTCTTCTGCATACCCTATATCTATAGTTTCAATTAGTAAGATCAAAGCTAGGATTTTTACCGTATGATTCATAATTGGGAAAAGGTAGAATGTGTGTCTCTGAGATTTCGGTCATAGTCTAGGGGGTACTTGTGCCTTCTCCTTTCATAATTTTGAATTTACTCTATATTCCTAATGTTGAATTCTTGATTTTAGTATAGGGATTTATTACTTCTCATATTAACGATCTTTGACTATTGATTCATGAATATACCACATGAACCCTTTATTTGTTAAGAGTTATTGAAGACCTTGTCATATTGATTTCTTATGCATTAGTTTCATGAGTAAAGTACTCCCTCCGTCCCTTTTTATATGTCATGTTTTTACTTTGCTCTTGCATTAAGAAATGATGTAACTTTACCCTTCTATCCTTATTAATTACTTGTAGATTTCATAGGTTGGTCAAAGTAAATACATTTTCAAGATTAATTAACTACTCTATTAAGGGTATAATAGGCAAAATATGATAATTTATGCATAAATTTTATAAAATGACAAATATTGTGGTCCAACTATTTATAGAAAGGAATGATATATAAAAAGAGACGGAGGGAGTAAATTTCAAATCTTAAAATAGTATTTCAGAATGGGTTTCAAGAAAGCACGAATTGCTTCAAGTACATTATTTTCAGAAAGAAAAACATAGTTAATTCAAAAGAGACCGTACCTTAGTTTGAGAAAGTGAAGTCAATTTCCATAAATTATAGTCCTTTAAAACAAGTTTAGTATGATTATATAAAGAAACATTTTAGAGTATTAACTCCACACAGGGAGTATATGTTTCCCCTAAAGTGGACCTTTTACCTAAAAATGAGACATCATACCGTTATTGAACATTATTGCATTGTTTTGGAAATAATATTGAGCACCAAGTTGGATAAGGGGTAGATAATTCAAATTTCATTATTGTGCAGCCAACATAGTGTATGATTGGGTTGTTGATTCAGAAGACTCCTCACAAAGCCCTTGGTAGGGGCTTAGATATTGGATCCATTAGCAAGTTCGTCCTCTATCCTGACAAAATATTGGATGGCTATAGCAATGTGAACAATACCTTGTATCATCACGAAGCTCATATTAATGATTGTCGGTTAGAGAAACGCCCCAAGAAAAGTAACGTATACTATTTTAGAATTTGATATTATTTTATATATCTAAGTTGTAAAACTTTATTGTTTTCAATACATTGCATGCTTTACTTTGGAGTTATCCATTTGTTTAGTCTTTCTATGAGTTGTTCTTCAGTTATGTATGTTTAGCTTAACCCATGTTTCATTAAGCTATTTGGCATATCATCTATTTCATGTACTGACGTTATTTGGCGTTGCATCTCTTAATGATGCAGATATAGATACTCAGGATTGCGACAGCAGACGCTTCGTTGAGATCCTCTCCATCAACTTTTGGTGAGATCTCCTTGCTTTCAGAGGGGCTCCAATTCAGTTATTTATTTCATTACTTAATATGCATCCCAATTTATTATTTAGGTAGTCATGTCTGACACCTATCTTAGTTTAGTAGAGGCTTCAGAGGCAAGTTAGCGAGTCTATTAAATCTTCATCTGCAGATGTTTTAAACAATATTATTATGATGATTCATACTTATATTTTACACTTCCATAAAGCATGTTCGGAGGTGTGAATATCTATCACTTTTAGGGGTCGTTTGGTAGAGTGTATTAGGAAAAATAATGCATGTATTAACTTTGTGTATTACTAGTACCTTGTTTGGTACTCTTTTTCAACCTATGTATAACTAATGCTTGCATTAGTTGTACACTCTATTGTGTATTAATGTGTGCATTGCTAATACCATGGATTTCTAGGTATTAGCAATGCAATGATTTTAATGCATGCATTAAAATGATAAAAAGACTCAATTGTCTCTCAAAACCTTTTTTTACATCTTTTCCACCATAAAAGTGGAGGGTATCTTTTTAAATAATTTTTTTAATGCAATACATACTATTTTTAATGTATCAAACCAAACAATGCATTAAAACAATCTATGTATAATTAATGCAAGCATAACTAATACATACATTACTAATGCAAGCATTACTAATACACTCTATTTAACATTATTCTTATACACTCTACCAAACGACCCCTAAGCTTCTACATAAGTGTTTAATCTTCTATTCAGCAGTAAGTCAGGCTAAAGATTTGCTTTAGGACAATAATGATTTTCGAGTGTTGACCACGTCCATGATATAGGTTCAGAGCGTGACAAATATTTTTTATTTTTTTTAGGGATTTAACATATAGACTAGATTACTTTTGGACTAAATTTTTGTAAGTATTTCTTTTCTGTTGGGCTTTTTATTTTTAAGACTTGGGCTAATAGAATTTGTCGGCTATTATTAGCTATTTTCTTGCTAATTTTATCAATAACATGGACCTTGGATCCCTAAATTTAAAGGCAAATTACAGAAATCACATACTTTTAAGGCAAAATTACAATCTATTCTTAAAAGTTTATAATTACAGAAATCCCTCAAACGGATACAATAACATAAGCACTGATACATTAATCTGATGCGCGAGATACAATAATATAAGCACTGATACATTAATATGATGCGCGAGATACAATAATATAAGCGCTGATACATTAATCTGATACACGAGATACAATAATATAAGCGCTGATACACTAATCTGATGCGCGAAAATGAGGGATTTTGGAGATTTGTAAAACTTATAGGGAATAATGGTAATAAGTAACTAAAATGTGGGATTTCTGTAATTTTTCCTAAATTTAATTGAAATTATTACTACTAGATTTACTTAATTAATGACCTATTTTTTCTTGATATTAAAAGGATTTTTTTTTTTTGGTAATATGAATATTTTATAAGCAACTAAATTGAATTTGGATGGCCAACAGTTCTGCTTGCACAGTGAAGTGTGTGCACAGGATTTCATGAAGCTCTTATACGACTGCAAAATCTTAATATCCATTCTAATAAGAATGATATTTTTTAAATTTATAAATATTTTAATTTAATTAATTATTTTACTTAATGATAAGTTTTTGTGGTCATATAACAAAATTAATGTAGACATTGTGTCTAATTTCAGTCGGGACTCTATAAGACGTATTTAATTTCAGTTATGGTTCTTGGAAGTTACTCTATCTTTAACTATAGCTCATGCCTGTATAAATACTAATATATTCTTTTGAAAATATGTCTCAAATTTTTTATTAATTCATGAATATTCACAAAGATCAAATCAAGATGTGGCTGGACTCTCCACATTATCGCTCTTCGAGAAATACATCATTAACTATCCTCGAATTACAGTGAATGTTTTTTAAAAAATAAACAGATTTGTACCCACATTATTTTGTCAATAAAATTATGTTTCTTCATATTTTACTTGTGATTTATCTTCTCAATTTAAATTTATCGTAACTAGGGGTGTACAAGCAAAATCGTAAAGTCAAATTGAACCGACGAACCAAATCAAACCGAAAAAAAAAAGATTTGTGGTTTGGTTTGGTATTAAAAGAAAAAGTGTCAAACCAAACCCAAACCAAACCGACATTATATATAATTTTATTTTATTGATAGATAAAATATATTATTTATAATCTACTTTGTTAAATATTTTTAGTTAGTTTATAGTTTTTAATGTTTTGATGTATTATTTCAAATTTGGGGCTTGTAAAATTTTGTAAATATTTTATTTTGTATTAAGATCAGAAGGTACAATTATATTGTTATCGTTTTTCAAATTCGAAGTTAACAATTTACTTTGTAAATATTTTGTTTTGTATTCAGTTTGACTATAATCTTTAATCTTATTAATTTAACATAATGAACGTTGATATTTCAAGAAAAGTATTTTGTACTCAAATTTTACCGTTTTTTCGAAGATTTCTATTCATTTAACATTTTTAAAGTTTAGCTAATTATCACACAGGTAAGTGAAAATATATTTGATCTCTTTTTCAAACACCGTATAGTTGTAAGAAACTGAAAAACCAAAAAAACCCAAAAGAAATCGAAAGAACCGA